AACATGCCCAGCATTAGGGGCTGCTGACTCCACTCTGCCCCCAGCACAGGAAATCCAGTCCAGACTCTCATCCCGGCAAGCCAGCTGGCACCCTCCACCACCAGGAAAGGAGGACCTTCTAGTCCTTGCGTAGGGCTGATCAAGCACACATTCCATGCCTGTTTCGTAAACTCTGCAATTAGCTTTCCTTCCAAACATGATCCCCTAAAACCCTGAGAAACAAAAATAATTCCACCACATGCTTCTCCCTGGATCTTTATGCTAATGTTTCCCCACTAGGCCATGAGCTATCATACTAAACAACACGAGATAACCACCCATCCTAGTTTTACGTATTTTAGGGTAAGAACAAAATGGGCAATAGGGCTCTGAAAGAATTAGAAGGTTATTCCCATAAGAAATCCTTGTCTCTTTAAAAGTTTGAGCCTGAGAATGTTACTTCCAAACTGCATTCCTTGGAGACAAGAAAACCCAATAGAAAAGGGCCTCCTGTACGCACAAAAAAGTTTGGAGCCAAGGGAGAAGAGGTCAGTGGTAAATAGAACATGGCACTGGTCTAAATAAGAAGGGTCACAGCTGTCTGACCCCCAAATCAGAAAGGGACTAAGGGTCATCAAACAGCTGCCTTAGAGCAAATACGGGAAGATCTGTTTTAACAGTAAGTGCTGAAGCCTTTCCAGGCTCCAGTCCAGGTGTTTAGTATGTATTATCTTATTTAAAACACTTCACTATCACAAAAGAGTGTTGCTTTAATTGTCCTCCTTCCAGGGTTGGTAAAACCACCGACTAGAGATGAAGTACAGTGGGGAAGCGGACGAGTGGGATTTAGGCCTGGACGAACCCCGTCCCCACGTCCTCCAGGACAGACACTCCCTGCCCTTCAGTCTTACATCCAGACCCACTGCAGATAAATCCAGAAAGGTTCTCTCTGGGACTTTCAAAAAGGACCCCAAACCTGAGTGGGGAGCAGGAACGGACAGAAAATAAAGGAAGGGAAGGGCACTGGCCTCAAAGGAACCTGGGAGGGCAGTCGAGGCCACAGCTGTGCTTCTGACCAAACTCCTGGCTCTTTGGGAAGCCATTATCTCCTCCTGATCTCCATGAGGCCTGACACACAGTGACCAGGAGAGGCCCATCCACCTTCACCCTGGCAGAGAATGCTGAGACCCCTGCATGGTAGAAACTTGGCTGCATTGTATATTTAGACCACACTAGGGACTGTCTGCAGGACAGCTGCCTGTGGATGGGGCTTGGAGTAAGGACAGGACCGCTGCACGTTTAGAAGGTTGAGACCCTTTCCTTATGGAATTAACAAATGGAGATCTAACTGCTCCCGCCGCCATTTCAGTTTGCCATCTGTGTGTGTCCATCGACAAGGAACCATCTACTGAATGAAGATTGTTGAGAACAAAACAGATCTCTTTTCTGTTTTCACAGTTCGTCTTGAGAGGGAGGGTTCCCTATGCAACTCGTCACCACACCGAGTAACCAGCATTTGTAAAAGGCTGTGACGTGTTCTGTGGCAGACAC